CAAGTTCAGAAGGTGACAAGTCCAGTTTGACTAAATCAACTGCTCCTTCAACACCTATTGGGGAGAGTGTTAATTTTCCTTCCGAACCAAGAATATCAAATTCTTTGGTTGGTGAGAGTGCATCGGTTGATCTCTTTAGCATTGGCCATGGGGAGTTCGCTACTGACAGCCTTCATGGAGAAGAAACACCTCTGGTAGGTAACATGCATTGTTGGTAATTAAAGGCCGAAATTTGTCGGATGTGAAATATCAGCTAAACAAATACATCTAAAGCAGAAAAGGATGACTTAGTTAAAGTTTTAAACCAGCAATCCACTTTTAAACAATCTTTGATCGACTAATGAGTCATGATTGGCTTACTGGTTTATAATGTGTTATTTTTGAACTCATAGCCAACAGCTGAAGTTTGTTTGTTGTAGTATATTTTGTTGGCTAACGTGTATTAACTAAGAGCATAATTTAAATTTTGAAGTGCTATACATGGATGGCACATGGTGTGGGGTACATGATACATTTTTAGCATTACCAAGACAACTAAACCGCTCAAATATTTACTAGTGTGGACTTCTTTATAGACACAGGTAGAAGATTAATATAGTTGCAAATCCTAGTGATGTAATATAAACAGCATGATGTCTTACTATGGACTTCTTTTTGGCATATTTTGATACGTGATATGTTGACAGGCCAGCAGAAAAACAATAGATCACGTTGACTTACTGAGAGAGCAATTGAAGATTTTGTCAGGGGAGGTTGCACTTCATACAAGTGTCCTAAAGCGCCTTACCGAGGAAGCTGGAAGGAGCCCAAATAATGAGAAGATTCAGGTACTCTATACCTTACCTGATATTCAGTTTCGTATGTTGCTAAAAGCTTTTCACCTTGAAACTCTATCTTCTTTACATATGAAGATGGAAATGAAGAAGGTTAATGATGAAATTAAGGGAAAGAAGCATCAGATAGCGTCTTTAGAAAGGCAGATACCTCATTCCATCTCAAATAATCAAGGGATGGCTGACAAGTTAGAACTTACTCCGGTAACATCCTGCATTCGCTTCAGTTCATGTTGTTTTGTTCCAAGTATTCTATTAAACAATTTGATGGTTTTATTATTGGTTTTTCAGTCTTATGCTGAACTGCTTGAGCAACTCAACGAGAAATCCTTTGATCTCGAGGTACTGAAAAAGTTTGTGCACTTTGCAGTCTTTCATGTGTATTGTACAAGGGTTTATTAAAAAGTCATGAACCAAAAAGAGAAGAGAAACTTATATATATGAATTTTATCAACTGTAAACTTCCTATGAGGTATTTATGATGCACAGCCAGTATTATCAAGTTTCAAGCTCAATTATCACCACTACGTTGCATGCAACAGGAGTCATCGCCGCAAACCTTTTATCAGCCAATACCCAATTTTTAAAACTAGTTCCTTGATTCCTTCCAAAGTTATTGCAACTGAATCTAGCACACCAATTTTTGGTAGCAGATTATTGTGCTATGCTAGATAATATACAACTTTCAATTAGTTTTATTGACTGTATAATATTCGAATTGTATGTAATAGTTTTTTCATCCATAGTATTCCCTTTGTTGTGCAATATTACTCTATTGTCATGGAACATATGGTGAACAAACAAATTGTTACTCCCCTCACAAACTTAGGATGGTTTAAATTCAGATCAGGATTGGTCTTGTCCCTTCGCTATACATGTGCATAATTAGATACAGCTTTGTGTGGTTTGTTATGAACAGAACAGCGCATTTGTTTCTATCATGTGAATGCGCACAACAAGTTTAGTCTGTGAAGCTTCATTTTCCCCTTTTTTTATTGCAGGTGAAGGCAGCAGATAACAGAGTAATACAAGACCAACTTAATGAAAAGGTTAGATGTGCTAGAAAATCAATTTGTTTTTTTTGCTGAAAGTTGAATGGTGGATAACTGAAATCAGTTCGTATTGCTTCTCTGAATTTCTTTTGTTGCCAGACAACTGAATGCATGGAATTACAAGAGGAGGTTGCTCACCTGAAAGAGCAACTTTACCAAACTCTTCAAGCTAAGGATTCACTGTCAAATAGCATTATGATGCAGAAGAATGCAGGAATTAACCATGAAACTGATAATCATGCTGATCAAGAACTATCAGTTCCTAGAGAGGTCCCTGGTGAAACGTCGCCAAAAGAACCACAGGTTTAATTCTATCTTCTTTCTTTTGCCTTCCTTTCATTTCATAACTGGGCCAACAGATCAGAACCTAGACCACTTAGAACCTCCTTCAAAATTTAAGTTCCTCAGTTAATCTATGTCTGCTTGCCATATAATAGCTTATTAACACCAAATTGTCACTGTATCCCTCACAACTATGCACACTTCTATTTCCCCACAGCAACACAGACATCGAAGAAAACATTGTTTTAGTATGATCAAAAAGTTTATCTTGGCCAGTTGACCCTGTGTTATGGAGCGAGGATCAGATTTTCAGTTTAAACTGATCTGTTCCAATAGGCAGTTATCCCAAATCATTGATCATGCACTTCCACGCAAGCACTATCTCATAATCTTTGCATACTGTAGATTTCAAAAACATTTATTGCAGCTTCTTATTTTTACACCATATGACTCAAAATGATCTCTGCTTGTACCATTTGAGGTTCTAAGCAATCTTGCTCTTCATTATGGTGCTGCCTCTCTATGACTTGGTTGGTTTGCACATTTAACTTACTTCTTTTGGGGGGTGTCCTTCAGTCAGTTGAGATTGATGAGCTGAAGCAGAAGGTGTGTGAGCTGATTGAAGTAAAAGCTCAACTAGAGACTCGCAACCAGAAGCTACTAGAGGAAAGCACGTACGCGAAAGGCTTGGCTTCGGCTGCGGGAGTTGAATTGAAAGCGTTGTCGGAAGAAGTCACCAAGCTCATGAACCAAAACGAGAAGCTTGCTTCTGAGTTGGCATCGGTGAGAAGTCCAACCCCGCGTAGAGCCAACAGTGGACTGAGAGGTACTCGGAGGGATAGCATCAGTAGACGACATGAGCCAGCTCCAAGAAGAGACAACAACGCAGGCTACGAGAGAGAAAAGGCATTAGAAGCTGTGCTTATGGAGAAGGAACAAAAGGAAGCAGAACTCCAAAGGAGAATTGAGGAGTCGAAGCAAAAGGAAGCCTTCTTGGAAAGTGAACTTGCAAACATGTGGGTTCTAGTGGCAAAACTGAAAAAGTCTCAAGGCCATGATCTTGAGGATTTTGACACCAAATATATTGGCTCGTAACATCATAACTCTAGGCTAATTAATTATTAGTAGTGCGACTGGCTTGGGTACGTCTGTATGTAAGATAAGAGATTTATACCAGGTTTCCTGTTGCAGTGTGAATTAGTTCCCATCTTGTATATTCGCCGGTTGATCAAAGTTGTGAGGCCTTGTTGGGCTGATGTGCTGAGAGCTTCCATAATTGCTGCAATGGGTTTTTGGATTCTCCTGTCACTGGTGCCCCTACCAAATATATCTACTAACATGTATTGGCTCTGCCCATCCTGCACTTGGGGAGAACATCGGTTTGTGAATATATTCCGCGTGAGTGAATCACATTGATTGTATCATCAGTTAACCTTTTGTAAGTTTTTCCTGTGGGATGCTTGCTTCAGTAATAATGTAATAGTCAGGCCTCTTGTGGTCCGGCGTTGGTTTTGGAAATGCAAACGTTTGCTTTGTCATATCATACCTGCTCCATTTACTTCCATACAATGCTCATACTTGATACCAGCCCTGCCTTCATTTGGTTCAATAAACAGAATTCGCGATGCAACATGAGGATGATGATCTTTTATTGCTGGCATGTGGTGATACCTTCATGCATACCCTTTTCTTGCCTTGAAGTGCGCACCTCTTCTGGCATGTTACTAACTCCATCCTAAATATATGGACTAACCAACATCATATAAAAAAGAACAGTGATGGTGATACTGGGAAAGCAAAATGATAGTCGGGTGGGACGCAGTAACACCGACAATACCGGGCCCATGAACCATACAGGCCATAGTACTACGCATCCAACACAGTTACCTCGCTCGGGTGACCACTGACAAAGCCAGCGTAAATCAACCGGTGCAGCCATGCAGGAACCAAACTGCTGCCTGATGGCCTTTCAACAAAAAAAGGCCCACCTGGTGTTGTCCTATGTACTGTAGTTCATAGGCAGCGCTGTACTAATCCTTGAGCAAAGCTTCACTTTGTTGCTTGGGTGTAGATAGGAGACTACTTCTCTTTCAGGCTCTCATCGTTGGCTTTTTCCCTAATAAACCAAAAATAAAAATAAATTTTTAGGTAAAACTTTTATATATGTGTTATTGTGTACTTTAACGTTGATTATATGACTGGACCATTGGGTTCTTTTTCACAGTTAAGTGTGCAAGTGACAGTGTAACCCGTAGGCAACAAAGGCCTCATCACCATACTCAACCCAGTCACCCGCACCGTTCTCCAAAAGCTTTCCAACTTGCCAGCCATTGCCCTCACCGTCTATGCCATTGTGGCATGGTCATCGCCTCATCGCAAAAGATCCTTTTCGCCAACTCGCCAAGTGCCTCCAAAACAAAAAGGCACATCCTTTCAGAGTAAGTTTAATAGTATAGTGACTATAGTCCACTACTAGCTCCAAATTATTTATAACCAATAAAATATTGAATTCATATAATAGTCGCTTACTATAAAATTAGAATCTGGTCCCACCTGCCATACACACATTACATCTTAGAGTTCATGCGCAGCTAGCTACAGATCTATAGTTCGCTACTTTGCTTTTTTTTTATCTTTTTAAAATATGTTTGGAGCTTGCTTATAAGCTGATATTGTACCTGCTCTCGTAGTAGTAGGACAATAGAGGCGCGACGCTTTCCAAGCCCAAGCTGACTGGTCGACGCCTCGGCGGCGGCACACGCGTCGCCGCGCGGTTCGTCCGCTCTCGCGTTTCACCTCACCTCCCTCGTGAAGGAATCGCGGAATCCCCCTCCCGCCAAGTAAAGCGCAGCTCAACTCTCTCTCTCTCTCGCAAGTGTTGTTATTCCTTTCTCTCCCGCCAATATAAACCAGCAGCCATCTCGTCTTCTCCCTTGCAGCTTCGGACTTTCGTCCATCGCCGGCAAGAACAGCAGCGCAGCAGGAGGTGTAGCCTTGTAGACATGGCGAGCCTTGGCTACTACGACGACCGTGGCGCGCCGTCGTCCTACCGCTACGACGCGCGGCAGGCGGCGGACGGGGCGGGGACGTCGTTCCACCTCTTCATCTTCCTCGCCACCGCGTCGCTGCTCGGCGCCGCCTCGCTCTACTCGCGGTGCGAGTCCGCGGTGGAGAGCCTGTTCGACCAGGTCCGGGTCGTCGTCGTCCTGTCCCCGCTGCTGCTCCTGCTCGCGATGCAGTACTGGGCGGCGGCCGCGGGCGGCGGCGGGCGGCGGTCGGGGCTCTCGTCGCTGCTCATGGCGCCGCTGGTAGGGGAGCACAGCGGCGGCGGCGGCGGCTGGTACGACCAGCGCCGCGACGGCTCCTCGCCGTGGGGCGTCGCGCTGGCGCTGGCGCTCGTGCTGCTGCTCATCTCCTACCAGTCTTGCTTCCAAGATTGGTGGTTCCCGCTCGTCAACCGCCGCCGGTGAGCCGAGATCACCGACGAGAGCAATGAAATTTGCAAAGATCATCAATCGATCGATCGATTAGCAGGTGCAGGTTCAAAACTTTGAATCGGTTCATTCCACGGATGAAACCTAGCCGAGCCATGTATGCTCCATTTTAGTATAGTTACTCTGTTACTTCTACTCATCACTGGCTTCACCGCTGGAGAAGAGGAAAAATGGAAAATGATAGGTAGGGGATATTTTTGCTGCATGATCATTGGAGCCCGGACTGTCTGGACTCTGGTGTCTTGAGCTATTAGGCATTAATAACTACAGTATCAATTAATCTTGGATGTAAATGTAATGGCAGCAGCATACTGTGACACTGACACACTATTGTGTGCTATAAATAAAGAACAGTTCAAAATCAAGTCGATATTATTTTTTTCTCAGACGAACAAATCGCAACTTTCGACCAGTTTGGTAACTAACTGCGTTGACTGTACCCAGATCAGTTTGCTAAACGTTTTTAGAGCATTTTCTCCTTAATTAATTATCAGTGAGCACAAGCCTGGCATGTAAATCATGTTGGCAACAGTGGCCAAGTAGTGCGGTACACTTCTTTAGAAAAGGACTGAAGATCCGATACCAAACCAGAATATTTGATAAACAAACACCTCAATACCGACAGAAATGTGCCGTTTGTTATCAGTATGTTAATTAATCAAACATGGGAAATAGCATGGAAAAGATTAATAAAGGACAGAAAAGATGGAATCTCGTTCTTGACTTTCCGTTCAGAACCTGGCACCGTCTCTCTCTTCTTTCGGCTGTTGATGGACGGCTAAAGCTGCTTTCTGCGCTAATGACGGTGCGGGGCAGCGGCCGTCTACTCCCGTATATATACATGTTGCCGAAAAGCAGAAAAGATAAAAAAGAATACAGATTATTCTTCACACATCTGCACTTTCAGCTTCCCCTATCGTGGCTGTTCACGTCTTTTACCATGGGTTCAGATAAGGCTTCTAGCGTGGCTGTTCAGCTTGTGCACTGCACTAATCATGAGTTATAATAGCCAATTTTCGCTAATTTAAAAACGGTTGAACTAAACTGACTATACTCACTTCAAATTTGAACTCACATGTTTTTGAATAAGACAATTCGAATTCACATATGGTGATTGGAAATTTAATTAACCTCTTCCCCTAATTCTACTCTCGAAGGCCCAGTTGCAGCGGCTAAATGGGCTGGGCCCATAATCGGCCCAGATAACAACCCTCCTCCGCATCGCTGACCACGTTGACCATCTTCCATTTCTTCCCCTCGCCAAGGCGAGGCCGCGAGAGGGGTTTCGAATTGGCGCCAACCATTCCCCCCGATTCCCTCCTCCAGCTCTAGGGTTTCCGCCTCTCTCTGCGCTACGCCATGGCGGGAGCCACCGCCGCCACTCCGATGGACATCGACGCCGCCGCGCCGCCGCCGGGGGCGGCCGCCAAGGGCAAGGCGCCTCTCTCCTCCACTCCCGGCGGTAGGGCCGCGCCCTGGGTCGAGAAGTACCGCCCCCAATCCCTCGGCGATGTCGCCGCCCACCGCGACATCGTCGACACCAGTAAGCTTCCGCCGCTCCCCCCTTTGGTTTCGCCTGCGCCGATGATTGAGCTACTGCGTAGTCGGTGGCTGCCGCTCGGCGTTTTAGGGTTTTAGGAGCGGAGCGACTCGATTGGGTTACTGATTTGGGGGTTGTTTTGCCTTTATTGGCGAGGTGGTGCGAGCCCACGGGATTTCTGTAGGTAGTATCGCTATTTTGTTTTTGTGAATAATCACTATCTATTTGCTAGTGTCATGATGGGGATTTTGTGGTTCTACACTCATGTCTCCCCTCCAGCTCCACATTTAGGATTTGGCGGTTGATTTGGTCTTTCAGGGGATTTGGCAATTCGTGCTAGTGAGCTCCAGCTTGTGATCTGTTGTTAACTTGGTGCCATGAATTGTGATGGTTAGTTTTCACCATATTTGTCTTAGTTGTTCCTCTATGTTGCATCCTGTTAGGAGCCTGGGGTCATTTGAGTCATGCAATTGGGTTTTCTGCTTGTTTTGTGTGACTGTATTATATTTAGCCATTTAGGTAGTGAGGAACTGTTTTAGTATGTGATATAATGACCTGCTGATATTTCTCTCTCTCTCTCTCTCTCTCTCTCCCAAATTTAGCTTATTGTAAGCTGTCACATATTTTGGGTTGTTGAGTTTTGACACATTATTAGAAGTAAATAGCGATTTTTTTTTCTGTTTCAACCTATTTATTAATTTCTGATTTAGACCATTAAGCTAATCTGATGATTTTGTGTCATTTCATTATATTGTAGTTGATAGGCTTACAAATGAGAACAGGCTTCCACATTTGTTGCTTTATGGGCCTCCGGGCACTGGGAAAACATCGACAATACTGGCCGTTGCAAGGAAGTTGTATGGGTCACAGTATGGCAACATGATTCTTGAACTCAATGCATCAGATGAGCGTGGTATTGATGTTGTAAGGCAGCAAATCCAAGACTTCGCAAGTGCCCGCAGTCTCTCTTTCGGGTATGCTTTACATTTTTTGATGTTATTATTTTGGGAAGATATTTGAGTAGTATTTTCTTTCTAATAAGGGGGAACGTGTTTTAGCATATACCAGATTTGATCTTTGTTGGTCCTAGACCTACCTATACACGATCTATCGTGGGTTTGGAAATGCATGTTGAGAGAGTATTCCTGTTGTTTGTGTATGAGTGGTCATACTTTGTTGTAATTAGCATGCATTATGCAGTCATCTTGTGAGCCAATAATCCCATGGAGGTTGCATATTGTCTCATGGATCTTTTTTATGCTTGTTTTCTTATGCTTTATTGGAGCTACTGGTATTGCATAATTTGCATTACTAAAGATCTGGTATACAATTTAATTCAATTTTGTCATATATCTGATATTTATCTTGCGTAGAGCAAAGCAATCTGTTAAGATGGTTCTATTGGATGAAGCAGATGCCATGACCAAGGATGCACAGTTTGCATTGCGAAGAGGTTGGTCTGTTGTTCAGAGTTTCTCATTGTGTCACCACAATATTGCTGTGTTTTTCTTTCAGCTACATCTTCTAATCTCCCCCATCTTACAGTCATTGAGAAGCATACAAGGAGCACAAGGTTTGCGCTGATATGCAACCATGTGAACAAAATCATTCCAGCACTGCAATCAAGGTGCACCAGGTTTAGATTTGCACCCCTTGATGGCACTCATGTTAGGGAACGTCTTAAACATATAATACAATCCGAGGGGTAAGCACTTAATGCTCCTTTGCAGATTATACTAGAACCTTCGATATGTTTCTCTTGTAAAGTTTCTTGCTCATGTTGACTGTTGAGACTTGAGAATTCAGTTGGTTTTGTTTTGAAATAATATCATTGTGTCACTATCTTCATGTGGTAGTCTAAATTTTTGTTGCCACATCTTTGTGTTCTTGCAGGCTTGATGTAGATGACGGTGGTTTGACAGCCCTTGTGCGGTTAAGTAATGGTGATATGAGGAAGGCTTTGAACATATTGCAGGTTATGTGTGAATAAGCGTTTGCTGAGCATTCTTTACCTACTTTTTTTTAACCATTAATCATTATATTTAGTTTATGAAAAACATAAAGGCCCATGTGCATGGGGGTTGTGTTGGAATAGACAAGAAAATTTTGCCTGTTAAGATAGATCTGGATGAACCATACTTATCCCTCACTTCATAACAAGAACATGTGATGCTAGATTTAGCTAATCCATGCCATATTGGCAATGATATCACATCATTTACTTGTGAGATGCCTGTAAATTATTCAACCAAACCATTAAAACCTGTTTTGTTATACTAATTGTTTTTGTACAATGAACTGATATATATATATATATATATATATGTTTTACACTGATTTGCTTTACCTTTTATGTGCAGTCAACACACATGGCATCTAAGCAAATAACAGAGGAAGCTGTGTACCTTTGCACAGGAAACCCCATGCCGAAAGACATTGAACAGATAGCATACTGGTTGCTGAATGAATCATTTTCAACCAGCTTCAAATGTATTCTTAATTATCAAAGTCATACTCCTAACAATTACAATTCATGGTTTAAACATGAATTGTGCAATTTGTTCTTTGCTGTCAGTCTTGTGAAAACACTGTCCTATCTGCTTCAGGTATATCTGATATGAAGATGAGAAAAGGACTGGCCTTGGTTGATATCATACGGGAGGTCACTATGTATGCCCTCTTTCATGCCCTATATTTCTCTAAACCTTCTTATTCCTCAAATCCTCTAAAACCTTCTCCTAATACGCAAAAGAAATTTCTTGCAGGTTTGTGTTCAAAATACAGATGCCATCTGATGTACGCATAAAGCTGATTAATGATCTGGCTGATATCGAGTACGTCCTGTTTTCAGCTGTAAAGTTGATTACTTGTCAAATTTAGTGTGCCTTGCTTAGTTCACCTAGAACTTGCATATAATATTTTATTTGATCATAAATCATTTGTGATTTTTGGCTGATTTTCTACTCAGTACCCTTTTTTTTCAAAACTTTGACGGAACATTTTGCTGATTTATTCATATTATATGCTTCAAGATAGTCATTTATGTCATCACATCAAATAACTAGTATGGAGTATCTTACGTAAGAAAAATAATAATAAATAATTTAAACCAGCTAACATACTTTATTGTATGTGTTTCACAATTTAGCCATTACAGTTAAATGGTTGCATACTGCAAAGCAATAGTTGTTAAGCAAACCTCACATGTTGGAATTGCTTATTTGTGCCTTGTGGAATGTTTGCATTTGGGGGGAAAATGAGTCTTTGGGTTGCTTTCATGATGCAATTACCTAAAGTTGACCTTTGGCTATCTGGAATACTTATGGAAGTATAATAACTGATTAATATTATGAAATATTCCAAATATTTTTAGCCTTTAGTCTTCTTGGAAAGGTAGGTAGTATAACCATTTATGGCCTTTTCCCTTAAGATGGCACGTTGTTCATGGCGTCTGTGTGCAGGTACCGGCTAAGCTTTGCTTGCAATGACAAGTTACAGCTGGGGGCGCTGATATCAACTTTCACGGGTGCTCGCACGGCTATGGTTGCTGCTGCCCACTAATTTCAGCAAGGTGATGATCATTTTGTTGCCCTTCACTGCCACTTCAATCTGGAAATGACGCGGCAATGCTCGTTATTATTATAAGCATGTGGTTAGCGTAAAGCTTAAAAGCATGGCGAGGAGAAATTTTATCTGTAGGGTTTGTCTGCTCGACGTGCTAGCTTCTGGGACTCGGGAGTGCCTTGTAATTGAACTGTAACCGAATTCTATCGGGTGTAACCGTGTAGGTGATGCATGATGCGTGTAACGTTTTATGCAGTAGAAAATGTATTCACAGTTCCAGCTCTTTGCGACGGCCAGAACTTTTTGGTCAAGTTACGAAGCAAGAAAGCAGGCCAGCCAAAAGGAAACAAAAAAGGAAACGCACCAAATGGCGAATCCAGTATTATTTCACTCAGACATACAGATTCCTCTACCCAAAAGCCAGCTACCGACCTACCGTCACCGTGTACGTGTAACCATAAGCCTTCTGCTGCCTCAGCGACAAACCAAACCAGTGGAAGACTGTACTACAGTACCAGAATTTCAGTACACTGCACAAGAGTAAAACTGGAGCTGTCAAGGGCTCAAGGCTCAGTAGAGGGCAATCTGCTCCGAACCCTGTGCTCCGGCTTATGAGTGCTCTCAAAATCCACATGAACAAAAGCACGCTCAACTTCTGGAAGCTTCTCGATCTTGTCCTGCAGCGATTCACCAATGGAGTGCGCCTCACCCAAGCGCATATCCTCAGATAGCTCGATGTCAACCTGTGTATTCAGATTATCAGAAATATCCTAAGTTGTATTGGCTAGCATGAGGAAGATATGGAGTGGCACGAAAAATTAAAAAAAAAACAAACTTATTGGTGCAGAATCTGTAATTCTGAATAGCTGCAATGGCTGACCTCGACAAAGTAGAGAGCTCCAAAGCTGTAAGCTCGAACCGTGTCAACCCGCCTCACACGTGGATCGTGCTTCATGGCGAGGTATGTCAGTTTCTGCAGCATATCTGAAGGGGCACACTGACCCACCAGTGTAACTGCATAAAGATTTACAACCACAAACTGTCAAGATTTGTGGTGCCAAAACTATTGACAACTGGTGCAATTGAGGCCGAGCAATCTGCCATTAAACTCTAAACATCATTTTCCTTGTTAAGTGGTTCACATTCTTTTATGAGTCGTTTCAGTTTCACTCTTTTGCTAATGAAAAAATCTCACTTGGTTAAAAAAAAACGAAAAGAGCTGGTTTAAAAAAAGGGGAGCGAAGTATTAAGAAATCTAGAGGGCAAACCTGCATTTTCGTATACAGTTCCAGACCAATTCACAATGGTATACACAGCAAGTAGCACAGCCCCTACTGGGTCAATCCACCAGAAGAACTTATCTCCAAGCACAGCAGCCACTAAACCAACAACATTGGTTACGACATCGAAGTAATGGTCCTGAGCGGCACAAAGGCAACTGAATTTTAGAGCAGCAAAGTTTTCACCGGTTCAATAAGGCAATTCATAGTTTCACTCTTGCGTTCGAATAAATCAAGTGACGCTCTTCTGCAATTGCTTCAAAATTGATTATTATATAGTCAAGGCAGGTATACCTTTGCATATGCCTGGACAATGCTATTCCCTGAGCTTCTGCAGTATATGTAGAGGGCAAGTTTCACCACAGTTGCTGAAAGCATGATCGAGTACAACCATATCAACTGCTCCGGTGTCATCTTCTCTCCCGCCTTGTTCTCCACCAGTTGTTCAATAGCTTGGATCAAGACTTGGAAACCTAAAAAGAATGCAAAGATATTCATAACTCTAAACTTCTAGCGTGCAAATTGCAGTTGACTAATATCAGTCTCCTAATGGAGGTGGATCTCACACCTAGAGTGGCCATGATGGCCGCGAAGACGATGATCCCAACAGGCTGAACACGCAATTTCCCGATCGGATACTTGTAAATGTTCACACTCTTCATTGTAAGATGTGTGAAATAAAGGATACCCCCAGCCAAGAAATCCAGCAAGGAATCAAGCGTGGATGCAGCAATCGCCATGGAGCCCGTCTTGATCGTGGCATAAACCTGCATATGCCAACCAAACGGATCATTCAAACTGTGCTTCTCAACCTTTCGCATCCGTGTCCCAACGATCAATTGTCACTCTGACTCTTGACTCCGCTACCCTGATGCGAGAAATCAAAATCAATTCACCTTGAAAACCAAGAGGATGATATTGGCGTAGTTTGATATCTTCATGGCGGACTCGCTCTGCTTCTGCTCCTTGTCCTCGAGCTCGAGCACCTCGGCATCCGACTCGAATTCGCCGGGCATGCACAGCGCCTCCACCTCCTCGAAGATTTTCAGTGTAGCCAACTGCTTCTCATAGTACTCCTTTTCACCTACTCACAAGGGAAGAAGCAATCACTTCTACTATTCACTAAGTAGAAGTGTAGAACAAAGCTTTGCGACTTTCCTCCATGGATTAAGCGCGAGCTTAGCGAGGAAATCAGGTACTACCTTGGGAGAGGCCTTTGGCGCGGGTGAGGTCGACGTCGGCGGCGGGGCGCTCGGGGTCGCCGCCGCCGCGCACCTTGTCGGGCAGCCGCGACAGGAAGGTGCTCCGCAGCGAGCGCGCCGAGTCGCGGCGCCGCAGCGACGGCGGGCGGGTGCTGCCGCCCTCGCCGCCCAGCAGCGGGGTCCGCCGGTCGTCGCCGTCCATCGCCGTCGGCCGTCGGCGACGCGGGGGGGGGGGGGGGGGGGTCTCCGCACTTGAGCGGGTCGGGTGTGCAGCGAGCGGAGGATGAACTGGTCGCCTCCACTTTTTGAGAATTTTTTTGGAATTTTGAGTTTGATTTTTATACTATTCAGTAGTGAGATCTGGGGAGTTTCTGGATTCTATTTTATTACAGCGATGTTTCTTTTACTAACATTTACCAGCTATGTTTCTAGAAAGTTCAGGAGGTATGCCATTTTCTGTTTATAATATTAGCAACTCACAAAGGCTTCCTCAGTGTCTCCTTGCTCCGGTGCCATCTCAAAGAGACAGCTCGACGGCACGTCCTAATGACAGTTCCTTAGCGCGTTGATATCCTGTTTGTTACAACTCCAACTTCTAAATTTAGCTTCAGAAGTTGGGTCTGTAGTAGAGTTATGGAACTGCCTAAACCCAGCTCCACAACTCCAGTTTATTTTGTGAGAAAACTCCACCCAGCTCCGCTTCCATTTTGAATGAAGCTGACACTTTTTGGCTGAGCTTCAGCTCCACGAAGGGTGGAGCTGGAGCTGGAGCTGTGTCAAACAGGCCTGCAGCATGGGAACGGAGCTTTAGTTAGGGCATTTTATTTATTTTGAACACTGCACGGTTTCAAGTAATTTTAGTTTAGAATTTATATATGTATTGTAAGGTTATAACTAGAAGAAAATTGTAACCAACGTTCAGAGCACATTAAAATATGTTTAGTTTTAGTTTAGATATAGTAAAAGAATATTTTAATACAAAGTCATCCACCCATAGATATTCGTAATAAAATTTTACGCACATTAAATAAGGTAACCCACGCACGTGTGAGGGCTACCTTTCTAGTTCGTAAAAAGATTATTAGAAATAAATATATGCATGAAATACATTCATACCAACAAGGAAGGTATATATGTATTTCTATTTCTAGTAATCTATCCATGCATATATCTATTTCTAGGTTGTGTTTAATTCCATGCCAAAATTGAAAGTTTGAAGAAATTGAAACGATGTGATGGAAAAGTTAGAAGTTTGTGTGTGTAGGAAAGTTCGATGTGATGAAAAAAGTTAAAAGTTTGAAGAAAAAAGTTGGAATTTAAACAGGGCCCTAGTAATATTATCTATTCTACAACAATATATCCGGATAAATAAATATGTCACATTTTATCTAGTTTGAATTATTTTAGAATAGAGGTAGTAGCAATTTTTTCCATGAATTTACACAAATTTGTAGATTCGGTTTTTACGGGTTTTCAATTATTCGATGGTTTCCACGTTATATGTCCCTAGTTGCAATACCCTGCTCACCACTGTTCTATTTGTTTTTCTTCCTTCATTTAGGTTAGAAAAATATATTAGTAAGAAACCATAAATTATGTTAGCCATTTATCCCTGAGTACACGAGTAGTCATGTATGATGTGTCTAACTGTTGCAGTATTTGGCAGTTAGTAGTAAGGAAAACATGAAAGATTATATTATATATATTGGATATTATATGGCTAATCTTTGATATAGTATATATCCATGTACTTCCTTCGTCCCATAAAAAACCAAGGCCCTCATCGGTTATTCTAGAGCTTTGACTGATAAGCCAAAGTTGCCTTTTCTTCTTAAGCTAAAGAAAAGCCATTGATTAGCTTATTTGGCTTAATGAGGCCTAAAGTCTTCAGCCCAATAAGCAATTCGGCTTAAAGTCCTCAGCCCAATAAGCAATTCAATGGGCTTTGGCTGAAAAGCCTCAGCCCATACCTCTATCCGATGAGGCCCCAACCTAGTACTGGCTATGACACATCCTAGTATTACGAATCTGGACATAATTCTGTCCAAATTCATTGTACTAGAATATGTCACATCTAGTTTTAGATTCGTTTTTTTCGGTACGGAAGGAGTAGTGATGTAGATGTAACACTAGGCAGAGTTCGATACCCATGGTTCCTAACTCACTTCTCTCTTTTTCCGCGCGCATACTTTCAAACTGCTAAATGATATGTTTTTTTTTGCAAAAAGTTTATATACGAAAGTTGCTTAAAAAATCATATTGATCCATTTTTGAAAAAAAACTAATATACTTAATTAATCACACGCTAATGAACTGCTCCGTTTTCTGTGCAGAAGGAATGAGTTCCCAACCAGTAGAATCAAACACAGCCTAGGTAGTGATGTCAAAGGGAACATTATTATCTTAGGGCTTGTTCAGATTAATGCCATTTCAAGCCATACCATTTTTTTGGTAAAGTTGCTAAATATATGCATCCATTTAGTTTCTTACCAAACTCTAGTAAATAAATAAGAAATCATGCCAAAATTTGGCAATATTGTAAAATTGTCAAAATTTTGACAATGCCAAAATTTGGTAAGGTTTATTTTGGTTACAATTTGAACATGCCCTTAATTTACAGTAAATGATTAATTATATGTTATGGAAAGAGATAACATGTTGTTGATACAGTAAGATTTCTACAAGAGTTAGCTTATTCTTTGAAATTAGATTCCACCTTTCCACTTATTAACAAAGAATCAAAAATCTCTTTGAACTTTGATGGTCAAACAAGTTAACAATCCCTAGCCAGTTGCCATTTCATCGGCTCCGAGAGCGCTATCCAGTAATTTGGTGGAGCCAGTTGAACAACTCGTACGGATACTTTGTTGATTTCTGCGCCCTTTAAGTAGCTAGTGAAACTGGCTCCATCCATCCACAGGTGACCGTCCGCTCCTAGCCTTGGTCCGTAGAGTTCTGACACGGTAGACAGCGTAAAACTGGTGTGAAAAATGGTGTTCCATGGTGACCTTTTGTCTCCATGACCATGATGAGTGGTCGTCGCCGTTGTCGTAGGACTCGGGTAATTCAGGTTCTGGTTGGGCACAATCACATGCCTCGGCCGCATCCACAACGGTATTGATATTCTGCAGACTCCAATGTTAGCTCCACCATTGCCCTTGCTGCGCTAGCTTCTGCATCATATGCTGGCCTCGTGGTTCCTTCACTTGACGGATCTGATGGATACAGAGCGACCTAATTGATTCTAGTGATAGTTAGCATAACAATTTTTTGTTCATAAACAATTTATGCATGGTTTAGATAAAAAATCATTGTTAGTACTAGAGATCGAATTACTTGTCCCTGCTAGCTAACTTCTTTTTCTCTACATAAAATAGAGATAAAATTGCACAGTGCCATTAGTGCCATGCGTCCTTAGATTTTCTTACCTCGTTATAGAAAAAAAAGAAGAAATAAGAATGTTTACGTGTTATGATACCAAATAAGCATCATTATGAAATATATTTCTTATAATTTATTTGTTTGATGTTATTACTCTACTTTACAAAACTTAATTAAACTAAACTTAGGATAGTTTGACATAGGACAACAGATAATCTCTTATATTTTAGAACATATATTTTTAAAAGTTATTAGAGTCTGAATTCTTTACTAGTTTATTTTTTAAAACTTTTGGAGAGATTAGATTGAAACATACATACATGCATACATACATCGATCAAACTAATACGTACCTTGATAATTTTGGATTCGATGAAACAGGATGGGAGGGCAAGGTGGAGAGGCGGGACCGCGAAATAGAGCCCATTTTCGACCTCTTCCTGCCTATGGACCGTGATAGCTACACTGTCTTCATCCCTAAAGACAATCAAGGCGTTGCTCGGCCTCTCGCACAAGGCTATAGCTTCAATGGCACCGAACGTCACCATGTCCGTGCACACCTGGTCGAGCGCGCTCACCTTGTTGAGCTTCTGGAGGAAGTTCGTGAAATCCTGGGCTAGGACACAATGTCGATGGAGGTCGTTGTACCTGTCCCTGTCCTCGGAGATCAGTTGGCTTGCGATGGGTACCATGAGATCTCGCGCCAGGGTCGCCTTCTCGATGATGTCGCCGCACATGTCGCGTAGGTTTTCTAGAGGGACCATGGCTGGTGATCGACTTGATGATATATCTTTGGAATTCTTGAGACTGGAGCTGAATTGCACGTATGATTTTTGGCCGCAATAATCCGGCGGCTCGGCTGTGATTGATTTGAGAGAGGGTGCTGAGTATATAAGATTTTGTGACCGAATACGAATATGTCTTGGCCACTCGCTGGCCAAGCCCATGGTAGCAGTCAGACCGGGCCGAGCCGGCCCAGGAAGAGGAAAACGAGTCAAGCCCAAAAGAAAGAAGAAAGAGGAAGTGAGGCTGAAGAGAGGAGAGAGAGAAAGAGAGCTTCGCAGCAGCAGGTGACAATGGCGAGCGGCAGCGTCGTGAAGAAGGAGATCTACCCGCCGCTTGTTCTTCTTCTCTCTCTTGGCGCGATTTGTTCCGTGCCCTCGAAACCCTAACACGCTGGATCCAGGTGATTAGTGGGGTTTTACCCGCGCGCAGGAGGCCAAGTTCTGGGCGGACACGATGAAGTTTGGGGCGGAATCCATGTGCTGATCCGCCGCAAGGATTCAAATCCCCCCGTATTATTTCCGCTGCAAAGTTATGTCTCTTACGATCTTACGAAGATCTGTGTGGCAGTATTACATGTCTGTCTTCTTGTAATTGTTAAGGGTCAACGGAAATTTCGGGTGAAATTTCGAAACTTAGAGCCTCATCGGTTACCCATATTTTCTAATAAACCAAAACAGTTTACTAGGGAATACAAATTAATTTATAGGTAAAGTTTTTATGTATTTGTTCGTAGCAACTTAAAATCAAAGTTACATTAAAAATATCTTAAAATTAACTCTAAAATTAAGTTCGAAATTTTAAATTTTAGCTTTTGCTTTGGCTTATTAGGCTGACCAATGAGGCTCTTAAGTGGGCTTATTCTGCCACGAGATATGTACATTTGAATTCGATGATGGTGTATCCTCCCTGTGTTTGTTAGATGGCCCTTGCAGTTTGGTTGTTTTCCCGGGGAGAAATATGCTTCAATTGAGCTAGTGAACTTTGCATTTACTGCAAGTCTGCAACTACTTTTGTGTTGTGCATAATATTTTTGAAGGAAGCATATGTGCATAATATATTAGCAGTAATGTTATGCTGGTGGTCATGTCATGTGGGGGCGCACGTATGTGCGACGCCGCAGAGCGCGAGACGTTCGCCGAGCTGCGGAACGCGCGGCTGCGGCAGATCAGGCCACGGTCAGTGGCTAGGATGGAAAGGATAATTAGTTTCCTGTTATTAGCCCTTGCATTTAGGAGCAATTAGCTCTTTGGTTAGTTGGGCCTTAGGCCATATATCTCTGTAATCGGCACATTCCAGAAATTAAGCAATTTGGTTATTGTCCCAATTCTTCCCTTCTCTCGTAACTCTCAAGCCTGCGGCGGAGGGGCAAACCTCGCCGGAGAAGACGGACCGTGGCTACGAACTCCGTAGCCAGGGGCCAGCTACCCTAGGGATCAACGCCCTTGACAACCTGGTATCGCGGTCACGTCGATCTTCGTCTTCCGTTGCCGACTCCACCTCTGCCCCAGCCACCACCGATCCCATCTACGACTCCACCACCACTCCAGCCGCCGCCCCTGCTGTCGCTCCGCCCAATTTCCCACCTGCTGCCGCCGCCTCCCCTGCGTCCTCACCCTCAGTCGCGTCCTGCTCGGCCCACCACATGGGTGACGACCTCAAGGCCTCCATCGAGGCCCTCTCCAAGGACATGGCGCTGATGCACGAGTCGATCAAGGCCAACGCCGCCTCCATCGCGGCCAACGCCAAGGCGATCGCTGCGCTCGCCACCACCACCAGTTCATCTACGTCCGGCGCCCGCCCCGGCTTTGGCGATCAGCCGCCAGACCGGCCGCCCAAGCACTGGCGACCCGACTTCCCGCACTACGACGGCAAGAGCGACCCGCTAATCTTCATCAACCGCTGCGAATCCTTCTTCCTGCAACAGCGAATCATGCAAGAGGAGAAGGTTTGGATGGCCTCCCACAACCTCCTCGAGGGCGCCCAACTTTGGTACATGCAGGTCCAAGAAGACGAGCGCGGCACGCCGACGTGGACTCGCTTCAAGGAGCTCCTCAATCTCCGCTACGGGCCACCTCTGCGGTCCGCTCCCCTGTTCGAGCTGTCCTCCTGTCGCCGCACGGGCACAGTGGAGGACTACCAGGACCGGTTCCAGGCCCTGCTCCCCCGCGCCGGTCGCCTCGACGAAGAACAGCGAGTGCAGCTGTTCACCGGAGGCCTTCTTCCTCCGCTCAGCCTCCAAGTCCAGATGCAGAATCCCCAGTCGCTGGCGGCTGCCATGAGCCTCGCCCGCCAGTTCGAGCTGATCGAGCAGTACACCGCCGTTCCCGCCAAAGCTCCTGGTCGGGGTGTCCTGCCGGCACCTGCGCCTCGGCCGCAACTCGCCTTGCCGGCTCCAGCTGGGGCTGCCAAGCCCGCGCCGCCCGCCGCCACCGCTGCTGATAACCGGCCGGTCAGGCGCCTGAACCAGGCCGAACAGGAGGAACGTCGCCGCCTCGGCTTGTGCTTCAACTGCGACGAAAAGTACAGTCGCGGCCACAACAAGGTTTGCAAACGTCTGTTCTTTGTGGACAGCGTGGAGGACGAGGACGAGGAAGCGCCGGAGGACGAGGTCGACGCGGAGGCACCGGTGTTTTCTCTCCATGCCGTGGCCGGCGTCGCCGTGGGACACCCGATCCTGCTCCGGGTTCAGCTGGGCGCGACCACGCTCGTCGCCTTGGTTGATACAGGGTCGACCCACAACTTCATCGGCGAGTCGGCGGCCGCTCGCACCGGGCTGTCCGTCCAGCCGCGGCCACGGATGACGGCCACGGTCGCCAACGGCGAAAAGGTGGCCTGCCCAGGCGTCCTCCGCCACGCGCCCATCACCATCGAGGGCATGCCGTTCCACGTCGACTTGTACGTCATGCCTCTCGCCGGATATGACATCGTCCTCGGCACCCAGTGGATGGCCAAGCTGGGCCGGATGTCCTGGGATGTCACCACACGCGCCCTGACGTTCGACCTGGAGGGCCGTACCATCTGCTGGCAGGGCGCGCCAAACCAGGACGGGCCGGCAGTCCGCGCGGCCAGCGCAGACGACTCCCTATTGGGGGGGCTCCTCGACTCCTTCGCCGACGTCTTCACCGAGCCCACAGGCCTGCCTCCACAGCGCGGCCGTGACCACGCCATCGTCCTCAAGCAGGGCACGTCGCCGGTGGCTGTCCGGCCCTACCGTTACCCGGCGGCTCATAAAGATGAGCTCGAGCGGCAATGCGCCGCCATGATCTCCCAAGGCATCGTCCGCCGCAGCGACTCGGCGTTCTCGTCGCCGGTCCTCCTCGTCAAGAAGGCGGACGGTTCGTGGCGCTTCTGCGTCGACTACAGAGCGCTAAATGCGCTTACCGTCAAGGACGCTTTTCCGATCCCCGTCGTCGACGAGCTTCTGGACGAGCTCCATGGCGCGCGCTTCTTCTCCAAGCTCGACCTGCGGTCCGGCTATCACCAAGTGCGCATGCGGCCCGAAGATATCCACAAGACGGCGTTCCGCACCCACGACGGGCTGTATGAGTTCTTGGTCATGCCGTTCGGGCTTTGCAACGCCCCGGCGACATTCCAAGCCCTCATGAACGATGTGCTCCGCTCCTTCTTGCGCCGCTTTGTCCTTGTGTTTTTTGATGATATTTTGATCTACAGTGACACATGGGCTGATCATCTCCGTCACCTCCGGGCTGTGCTGACGGTGCTCAGGGAGCACAAACTCTTCATCAAGCGCAGCAAGTGTGCCTTTGGCGTCGACTCCGTGGCATACCTTGGCCACGTTATCTCGGCTGCTGGTGTTGCCATGGACCCGGCGAAGGTCCAGGCCATTCGGGAGTGGCCTCAGCCACGCTCGGCGCGTGCGGTGCGCGGCTTCCTCGGCTTGGCGGGGTACTACCGCAAATTCGTCCACAACTACGGCACCATCGCTGCGCCCCTCACCGCCCTGCTCAAGAAGGAAGGATTCGCCTGGACCGAGGCAGCCACGGCGGCGTTCGACGCCCTCAAAGCCGCGGTCTCCTCGGCGCCGATCCTCGCCATGCCGGACTTCACCAAGGCCTTCACCGTGGAGTGCGACGCCTCCTCCCACGGCTTTGGCGCGGTCCTCATTCAAGACGGCCATCCGCTCGCCTTCTTCAGCCGTCCTGTGGCGCCACGTCACCGCGCCCTCGCTGCGTACGAGCGCGAGCTCATCGGCTTGGTGCTGGCCGTCCGGCATTGGAGGCCGTATCTTTGGGGCCGGCACTTCACCGTCAAGACCGACCACTACAGCCTGAAATATCTTCTGGATCAGCGGCTGTCCACCATTCCCCAGCACCATTGGGTGGGCAAACTGCTGGGCTTCGACTTCACGGTGGAGTACAAGCCGGGCGCAGCAAATACTGTGGCGGACGCGCTGTCTCGTCGCGACACCACCGAGGACGCTTCTGTCTTGGTGCTGTCTGCGCCACGGTTCGACTTCATCGAGCGGCTTCGCCAAGCACAGGACGTCGACCCGGCGCTGGTGGCGCTACAGGCGGAGATCCGCTCCGGCACACGCGCAGGGCCGTGGTCCATGGCCGACGGCATGGTCCTGTTCGCTGGCCGCCTGTACCTGCCCCCAGCGTCGCCCCTGCTCCAGGAGGTCCTGCGCGCTGTCCATGAGGAGGGACATGAAGGCGTCCAGCGCACTCTCCACCGACTCCGCCGGGATTTCCACTTTCCTAACATGAA